CTTGCATCTCATCCTTCTTCTTCTGCTGCTTATGGAGCATCTTCTGCTTGGCTTCTTCTGCCTCGTCTCGTCTCGCGGGAGCGCTACGACCACCACGAGTGACTGTGACAAATCCATCCTCGTCTGGCTCGTTACGTAGTCGTTTCGCGAGTTGGTTAGCTTCCTCTTCTTTCCGGTTGAAGACAACGAAGTAAGCGTCAACAGCATCCTGCACTGCGGCATTGCCTGGGTATGCTAGTTTGTTGTGCGCTTTTAGATATGATGCTCCTAGAGGCGCGGCTCTATCTTTGAATCCCTCTCCCCAGACCGGATATTTCTTCGACCTCTGGAGCTTTTTGATCGCCTTCAGCACCGAGTCGACACTCTTCTCGTCGGCCAACAGAGCCACGGCGGAACTGCCGCTCTGGTGCAGTGTCCGTGACCATGTCTCTGGGAGCTCTGCGGCAGCCTCTTCCTTGCGGTTCTGTAGTTCCTGATCCTCTCTCTTCCTCTTCTTGTGGTGGTTTGCTAGTCTTTGCGCTTGCGCAGGTTCGTGTGAGACGTTGGCGCTCTTCTTATCGTGTTCGAAGAAGATGCTCTCAAAGCGACCAGCGCCCACTAGGCTCGCAAAGAGGGCGCGAAAATGAGCCTCTGTGCTGTCGGTGGGCACGTTGGCTAGGTATAAGCTTCTCGAGTCGTTTGGAGTAGCGATCTTGGGAGTATTCCGTCGCAGGTAGACATAGTGCGTAGCGGGCACAGGATACGAGGGTAGCGGGGGAATCGAGACGGGCAGCGTGGAAAAGTCCTCGGCGTGTGTCGTTTTCTCGGCCATCGGACTCGCTAGGTCGAAGTCGCGGTGCGGCCACAAATTTTGAAGGTCGAGGATAGTAGTTTAATGTTCGATTGTTCCCTGCTTAACTCGCTCGTCTTGGTACGAAAGATCGTAAGTAGCAGAATGGCGACGATGATCAGTGCCAGCAGGAGAGTAGAGGAATGCGATTGGAAATTCCAAGTGAAGCTGTAGAGAAAATTTTAGTGGAGCCACTAGGTACCACAGGTGCTATCTGCCCTGCTTCCAATTGCTCCACGACTCTACCTTGCTGTCATTCACTACCTCATGTCCTTAGATCTCTAAAATCTAAATCGCAATGCGGGATATTTGTCTCCAGGGTTGTGACTTGTAGTCCTGTAGTTTTAGTTACTAATTAGTTACTACAAACTAACTACAGTGTAGTCTGTAGTTATGTAGTTTTAGTCAAGCCACTAACTAACTACTTAGTAACTACAAACTAACTACAGACTAAAGCGGAATATATCTCTAGAAATAAAATAGAAAAAAATAGAAATAGATATATAGACTTTAATTAGTAATGAATCGGATTTAAGCCGGATTAATACCGGATAGGTACTTTTTATATCAGAATTTTATAACGAATTCAAAAAAGATTTTTCCCGATTTTTCCGAAGTATACCCGAATTAATCCGGTCTATTAACTAATATTAAATTTTTTGTAAAAACTAAAATAATCCTATTTTCTTTAAATAAGTATATAAAATTCCGGAAAAGAATAATCCGGATTAATTATAAATAATCCGGACTAAAAGTATTTCGTTTCAATTTTTCCGATATAAACCCGTCATTTTATAACAAATAACATAAATAAAAATTATTAATAAATACACTATATACCGGATTAACTCGGGTATACTTCTTAAAAATCGACAAAAATAATTATTAAATCCGGCTTTTAACTCTAATATAAAAAGTACTAATCCGGTATTAATTCGGCTTAATCCCGATTTTATACTAATTATAGTTTATATTTTTATATTTAAAAAGATTTTAATAATAGGAAAAAGGCCGGATTAATTCGGATATACTTCGGAAAAATCGGAAAAAATAACCATTAGATCCGGCATTAAATCTTGATATTAAAACTATATATCCGGTATTAATTCGGTAATTACCCGGGGTAGTATTAATTATTAAACATTTAATTTTAAATATCTTCTTTGATTTTTTTCTATTTTATTTCTAGAGATATAGCCCTACTTTCTCCACTTGTAGTTACTAATTAGTAACTACAAACTAACTACACTTTTTGTAGTTAGTTTTACTCAGCGAGGTAACTAACTACATATAGTTTTAGTCAGGCCGTCAACTAACTAACTACACTGTAGTTAGTTTGTAGTTACTAATTAGTAACTAAAATCACAACCCTGTGTTTAGTAGTCCATAGTTATACACCGCGTTGTTGTGATGATTGGTATTTGATCTTGATCTTAGCCCATCGATCCAAGTACATACCTTATCATTCACAGTATACTAGGTACCTACTGCATTGCTTTCTGCTTTGCGTGTACGAGTCATTGCACCCTTCCATCTTGTGATATGTGGTCCTGCTCACACAACCCTCTTTCGCAACGTGAGCGAAGAGGCCGAGAGCTACCACCAGCGGCACTCATCACCAGAGAATCAGTCCATGACCAAGAACGCTTACCGTAATGGAGATCCATATCTGTAGATGTGTCCAACATCCCACAGCGACTCAACCGGCGCCGGCTCCATCCGCACTTGGCGGGCGGGCGCCGCGGACTCGAAAGGGCAATAACCCACTATTAAATCCTCTCATGACGATGACGATACTCAAGTTGGTAGCTTACCTCTATGGTAACCTCCTCTGGCTGTCATTCTGCATGTATGTGCTCACCTACGGGTAGGTACATGTATTTGGTGGCATTGATATGAACCATGGAGCATTTTTCAATTCAGCGTGCCTGATATTAGTATTCTCATCTAGTTTACCATGACCTGGTTCAGCCAACTTCGGCAGTTTTTGTCCGGAGCGAAAACTGATCCCTCAGCGAAACCTCCATATCTCCTCTCCATCCGATCTTCAACGACGTTCATAGTAGTCACAGGTAGGTCTATCTTAGAATGATACTTCTGACCAAGTTCGACGACCTCTAAGTGGTGACAGTGAACCTTGCCGTTTTCACGGATATCTTCTTCTACGGCCTGATTGCGCCTGTGCTCCCATTCGCACTACATGCGCAAGTCGGTATTCCTGAAAATCAAGTACAACATTGGGTCTCCATCCTTCTCGCAGCATACAGCGCAGCGCTGCTAGTTGGCAGTCCAGTTTCTGGCATTTACGCAGACCACACATCATCAAGACGATGGCCGATGATACTCGGTCTCCTCGCCTTGGCTGGGTCAACCTTTCTCCTTGCATTTGGCAGGACGTCAGCTCTTTTCGTCATTGGTAGGGCCTTACAGGGCTTAACCTCGGCCGTAGTCTGGAGTGTGGGCTGCGCTCTGCTTGTCGATACGCTGGGGAACAATGTTGGCGTTGCTATGGGCTATGTCAATATCTCTATGAGCGTCGGTCTTCTGCTGTCTCCTCTTATCGGCGGCTCGGTCTATCATACTGTTGGATATCAAGCAGTGTATTATGTTGCTTTTGGTATTGTAGGGCTAGACATTGCGCTGCGGCTGCTGATGATTGAGAAGAAGGTAGCTAAGCAATGGATCGCCGAAGACGACAGCCCCTCTGAAAGCAGTGATGGGGCAAAGAATCGAGTCGAAAAAGCTGCCGCTCCAGTCGCTGGAAGTGATGCCGTACCGACAGATGACATGGCACCAGCTTCCCCAGCGCAGACGAACGACGACACGCCACAAGTCTCAGCCGGAGATCAACATCAACGGAAGCGTCATCCTGTACTCGTGCTTCTCAAGTCGACCAGGCTACTCGCTGCGCTATATGGCGTGGTGGTAGAGTCAGGAATTCTGTAAGTCCCACGCATCCGGTTCACATTCATCTTTAGAGCTAAGTATATGCAGACTCGGTTTCGATGCTGTTCTTGCTATTTTTTGTGAGAACACCTTCGGGTGGAACTCACTAGATGTCAGCATCCTCTTCTTAGCGCTTTTCATCCCTGGCTTCATCGCGCCGTTAGCGGGTTGGTTGGCAGACAGATACGGCACCAAATGGCCATCATTTGCTGGCTTCGTAGTCACTGTACCCCTCTTGATTTCTCTTCGTTTCGTAACACAGAACACCCTCCAACATAAAGCATTACTTGCAGTTCTCTTAGCCTTGCTAGGTGTTTCACTGCCCTTTTCTATGACGCCCTTGATGGCCGAAGTAAGCTACATGATCGAAGCGGAGGAAGCGAAGAGTCCGGGAATCTTTGGCGACAAGGGCGCCTATGGTCTCGGGTATGGTCTTTTCAATGTTGCATTTGCATTGGGAGGTATTGTGGGACCTGTATGGGCTGGCTACATTGTGGATGACGCGGGTTGGGGCACTTTGACTTGGAGTTTTGCCATCTGGGCTGCTTCCGCCGCCGCAGTCGTGCTGGTCTGGTTAGACAGTGGAGTGAGAAAAAAAGTTGAGCCTACAACCGATAGAGAGGCATGAGTCCATGCTTTACGACCTATGGATTCTGAATATATATAGAGAATATCTCCCTTGTAAATTTGATTGCTCTGATATAGGAGAAGGATTTCTACTTAGAAAACATCTGATTTTTTCACGAACTTTGTCAATTATAGTTGATACATAGCTCTACTAATACCATAGTTAGCTGATGCGTATAAAACGCTAAAGGTACCTCAACGTTTCGTCTCGTGTGTTATGCGAAACAATAGAATACCTGGTGATTAAGCCAGATGGAGAATTAAATACTTGATGTGCGTGCACCCGATCGTGTGTGCTTGGATAGCTTCGGGGGCAGATCATGGCAGCATGGCTTGTCATTAGCGACATAACTCGGATCTCGATACCTGTCGAACAGTATCTGCTCTATAGTGGGATAAATGCAAAGGCCGTGAGTAAGGCATCAATATTGATATCACATCCACCTTGTACTTACATCGGGAATTTAAGAAGCCCACAAGCGTAATCTGTGTTCTATTGTCACGAACACCTGCGCAGCGGAATCTCGGGTAAGGAAAGAAGACAAAAAGGACAAACTTGCAGGTGCTGCATAGAATATTCCAACCCAAATAAAAGAATCAACCTACGCCGGATTCGAACCGACAATCTTCAGAGTTTGTGTAACTTCGGTTTACCGAAATCTGACGCGATACCATTTCGCCAGCAGGCTTGATTGGTTGGAGATTTTTCTAGCTACGATATACTATACCCATTACAAATTCCAAAGCTGATAGGGCAGCCCGCTTATCACTCCGCCAATAAGCATTTGCTTCACTGTTCAGAACACCAAAACCGATTCGAAACGGATTAAAGAAGCGGAGGGAAGTGAGAAATCAACACACAATGGCTTTCTAGGTGGGTTATGTGAAAAATGATGTAGTGAAGACAGCGGCAACAGCACGCCAAAGCCCCTGTGGTTGGCAATGACTCCAGTAACAAACGGGTCACAACTACGAAACGCGTCCCCATCATCTGCTTTTTCCAAAAGATAATTCTTCACCTCGATTCGAATACTGATCAGATCATTCGTCGCACATGTTCTCTTAACCCTATTTCCATTGTTGGCTGAATTGATAAGCCGAACTTATAAGCATGTAGGTTCCTAAGTTCTAACCATCAAATTCCGTCGTCACGAATTCAAAACTTCAGCCACGTGCGCTGCCAAAGGCCATTCATTTGATCACTTGGTCTCAGGAAGCTGATCAATCAACAGGTATCTCGTGGCACACCTTATCCAAGACTTCTCTAGCGAAGGTCAGACAAATCCTCTCAGAGCCTCGCAACTGCATGACAGCCATGATTGCTGAAGAGGAGAATCAAGCGCATAAAGTGCTACTAGCGCAATCGAAAGTCGAACTTTATGAGACTCTGTTGAGAATTCCGGTAGGATGGTCAGAGTGTCGTTGGAATACAAGCATCTCAGTGTCTTCTCATTTAAGTGTGCACTTGTCAACGAATCTATCTGATCGGCATTGTCACGCATGAAGATGTGTAACCCCAGTCCCGTCCTAGCTCAATAAACCAAATTTCTTTTCTGACCAATAACACCTTTGGGAGACGAATGGGAGGTTGTGATGCATAAAGGGACATCGAGTTTTAATTCATGCATTCTCATGGTAAGGTCCTAAATGTCTCAAATCTACGCATTCTCAAAATCTATCACGGCACGCCGACAGTCACGCCCTTCCACAATTCAGCTTCATGAGATCGCTACGTTCGAAAAGTAAACTACTCAAAAGCGACTAGGAACACCGTGCGAGGCCTTTGTCGATCTGTAATCAACCGACTTTACCTTTCCAGCGACACTCGAAGAGCTTCGATTAGTGATGAGAGTCTAGGCATTGGCTAGGAAGAGCGAAACTCTGACTCCGGAACCCAATTCACTTCACTAGGAACAATAGTTACCAGGACGATGACAGTGATGTTTCAAATTCAAAAGCAACATGTATGACTGACGACTTGAGCCTAAGTTTACGACGAATCGGCTTTATCATGATGGCTCCAAGTGCTTCGACTCTTGACCTAAGCCCTGCCCAGGCCTCAGCTACCCTTCATTGAATCCCGACGAGAGGCCATTCAACGAAAGGTGATGTACGAGTGTCATATCTTTGCCTTACGGTGTAGAGACTAAGATACTTTATTCTCCTGAGCAAGTAGCCATATGAAATTGTTTTTAGGTAACTTCATTGCTTGGTTAATGTAGATATGATCGAATGCGCCACTACTCAAAGATGGCCTCGCGATATTACATTCGGTCGTATTGGTCTCTGTTGGTGACTAAGTGATATCCGGTCTGATCGTGTTACCGTTCTCATTATGGTTCGAAGTATAGGATGATGGCCGAAAATAGACCGCTGTTAAGTTGGTCGGTTGGATACCACCGAGTTGGGCCATTCTGTGTAGTGCGAGGATTTACCCTCAAGTCATTCATCGCCTCCAACGGTGAGCGTAGGTGACAAGAGTGCTGGTGAGACTCGGTGCGGAGTCTTCAATGGCTATCATGCAGGCGGCCTCCAGAGAGGTTACATGTTAGCTGCAAGCACACATTGGCAGCCAATTAGATGTACGCTGCCTGCTCGCCTTCTGTGGTTACAGCAAAGGCCACTTAACACAACGTTGCCACCTGTTTATGAATATATGCGGCGCGACTCCTCATCAATGCCCGGTTTCTAGCCGGTAGCTGTTCGAAGCACTCGTTTTCAATATCCATTCCGTGTGCCGTTGCGCTCGAGACAATCAATTGCAAATTGAAGTCAACCGTGCCATGATAGCCATGGAGACCCTTGCAGCAGTTGGATTAGCGGGAAACATCCTGAGTTTCGTCGATTTTTCGGCCAAGCTTCTGGTTTCTGCTCGTGCTATCTACAAGTCTGCGGCCGAGGCGTCACCAGAAAATCACGTCCTCCAAATCATAGCTGAAGACGTACAATTCTACGTCGAGAACATCACCACCACCAGCGATACTGATCAGCATTTGAAAACCCTCGCCGAAGAGAGTCGAATAATTGCTAGTGATCTGCTTGGACTGATCCACCAAGTCAGCGTCCGTGACAACACGATTCTTGGCGCGATAACGTTATTCGTGATGATCTTCATCCGGTGGGATATGGATACCAAGGTGCAGAGATGGGGCAAGCTCCACGGTGCTACCGGTTCGCATCAGAAGAAGAAGGAGAGGCACCATAATGCACTTCTCCGTTTCTCCAGATGAGCCTTGAGATCCGTTACGGCCAACACTCGCTTATTCGAGAAACAATGCCCAATGCTCGAGTGGGTATTGCGGATCTCAATGTTTGTCGGGAACGAAGGCGGGGAAGAAGAGCAGGTAAACATATCAAACCGACGGATACAGCGCAAGATATCCGGCTGTGTGACTGGATTGCAGGTGTGCCTTTTATGGCCGAACCGCATCATCTAAGAGGAAAGGAGAGGAGAGGAGAGGATAGGATAAGAAGATGAATAGGACATTTGCTGTCTGTAAAGACCGACCATATAGGTGTTTTGTAAGATAGATCAGCCTTCCCAATCATATAAATCATCGGCATCACTTAGGCCATCTACTTCCACTTCTTTTCGAATTTCACAGTGTTGCCCAACTCGATATTCTGTGACTAACAGTTCACCACCCATCGCCTTCATAATGGTATGCAAGTCAATGTTTTGAGGCCGGAACGTAGCTGATCCTCGACCCCATAGATCTTCGCACTTCCGTTCTTGATTGCGTGTGCTATCGCTTCACCCATCGAACCCACCGATACCGAGACTCCAAGCCACGGAACCGCTCCAGCCATCGCCACGTCTGCCACCAACGCCATCGAGTCTCAGACCAATACCACGTCTTCAAACAACGCTACCACCGGTCCAGACGTACTCTGGGTAACCTGGACCGTTCAGTGTAGTCAAGCAGGATACCTTCGGGAGTGTGTTATGTACTTCGATACATATTGTGACTCCAATGGTCTTTTGTATACCGACAGTTACTTCTGTCGTCGATACTGCGATTGCCACCCTGTCAGCTCAGGCTCAGTTTGTGGGGGATGCAACTTGTGATCTGCCCTGGAAAGCACCAATTCTTTATCTGACCATCTGTCGGAACCCGAGTTGATTTTGGAGGTTGATCATTCTTACGGGGTTGGTGGTATGAGAAGGAACTAAGTCTTCCTCAGAGTTGATCACTTGTAATGTCCTGAGTATGGAGGCGGGAGGCGTTAGATTAAGAAGATGCAAGCAGAGTAGTTTCGGTTATGTTAGCTAGGAATTTAAGGAGAAAATAAAGTGTCCAGAAACAATTAATCGACGTTGGGTTGACCTAGTTTGAGTATTTTGTATGCGTCGTTGCAATCCCTACGACAGTGAAAGCACATGACAAGATTGTCTGAAGAGATGTGCTCGCAAATACAACATATGCCACATAGCCATCAAATAAGAAGTCAAAATATGACTGTTTCATATCGGCATTGAAAGAAGTCACCAAGAAGAACGAAATCGCCGCGCTGTCAAACCGACTCTCAAGGCTTCAAGTTCAAATGAGTCTACACGTGCAGCACACTTTACTGTAAGCCATGCTCTCTAACCAGTCTCTGAGTAATAGATAGCCGGCATATATCCTGGCTTAGTATTACTGTTAGATGTTTCCGGGGGGATTTCGTCCCTTCACTAATAGCTTGTGTCATGTAGAACCCAGCACACATCAAGTCTGGATACTATCCAAGCAGAGCTGAAAGGATCCAGCCGAAGCCTAGAGCAATCCTTGTCCAAGCTCCGCGGTGACAATCGAAAATTGGCAGAGTCCATTAGAAGTCGAGACGTGAAGATCAAAGACAGGTTAGATCGCTGCGCCGCAGAACTGGGCAAGACCGACGGCAGGAGCTTGAATCTCTTTGTTCGCAGCCAAAAAAGGTTGCCTCCTGAGCTTTTCGATCTCGAACTACCAGCCTTAAGGAGCACAGAAGACATATCCAATCTGCAGCTGAAGAACGAAGTCGTGGAGCATCTCTACACATTACAAACTGAGAGCGCTGCATTTAGCCTTCAATATCGAGTCATCAGTAGTCTCAGATACAAAGTCATGCCTCTCCGCGAATGTCAGATTGATAGGGCTTATGAGCGGACATTCAGATGGGTATTAGATGATTCTCGACAAGACATTGGGTTTGTCCAGTGGTTAAGAGAAAACAATTCAATGTTCTGGATACAAGGAAAGGCAGGATCAGGAAAGTCAACTCTCATGAAATATATCTGCAGGCAACAGAAGACCTATCAATATCTCGAGGAATGGGCAGGCACCCGCGTATTGGCTACGGGAAAATTCTTTTTCTGGAATTCAGGCGCAAGGCTTCAAAAATCGCCAGAGGGATTACTCATATCTCTACTCTGTCAGGTTCTTCAACAACATTCGCACTTAACAAGCTATCTTAATCCCCAACAGGTCAATCTTGTCGACGGTGCGATTCACAGCGAAATTTGGGATATCGAGGATCTCTCTAACATGATACACGGTCTTCTCCAAGGCACTCCAGAGATGAGATACTGTTTCTTCATAGATGGTTTGGACGAATTTGAGGGCGATTTACATGTTCTCATCCGCATCCTGGATACTCTCTCAAACAACAAAAATCTCAAGCTGTGTGTGTCATCGCGGCCAGAAGTCCAACTCAACGATGCTTATAG